GAGAGCGGCGGCGGCCAAGGGATGCCGGGGCCAGGCTGCTCGCACTGCCCCGGCTGCAGCACCCGGCAGTCCCCTGGGCTGGCCCCGGCCGCCACTCACCCACGCAGGCCATGTGAGTCATGTCCAGCTGGAAGCCGTCAAAGCAGTCGCAGGTGTAGCCCTCCCGGACACGCACGCAGCGCCCGTTCTCGCAGCCGTTGAGGATCCCGCACTCCTCAGCCTGCAGCCCCTCGAAGCCCTCGTAGAGTCCTGGAGGGTGGCAAGGCAGTGTCAGAGCAGGGTGACCCTCCGCCCAGCCGCAAAGGGGATGTCAGGCATGTGGCGAGATGGTGCTGGTGGGGCCAGGGCCAACTCAGAGCAGCCAGGAGCAGAGCTTGCTCCAAGCCTGGGACATCCTGGCCGGGGTGGGAGCTGTCAGGCGGTCCCCATGGACACGGGCTGGGTGGGAAGGCACCTCTCTGTATCCCAGTACTCACCAGTTTGGCTGGGCCGGGAGCGGGGGGGGGGCCGGCCCGGGCCGTTTTTTTTTGGAGAGGGCTGCCACGAAACTCACTGTTAGCTTCCCTCCGAGGGAAACCAGCATCGGGGTTTCCGTATTCAGACTCCAAGTAGTTGTAGTAGGGGCCCATATCTGGGCTGGGAAGGCCATAGTGGGAGTCTTCCAAGCCCGGTCCATACTCATACCTAGGTCTTTCTCGGAGCTCAGACCCTCTCTCACTGTCTTCACTGGCCCCGTTACACAGGAAAGCAAAATCAGCTGCAAGTGGTGAGAGAAAAGGAAGGGTCAGTACAGCCTGGCTCCGGAGAGGTAGGTCTGCTGTGACCAGAGTGTGTGTCCACACTGGGGCCAGCAGAGCCAGGACGGCATTCAATGGCCTCCAATGCTGCAGCTCTGTTGTTTTCTGATTGGACCCCGTCTTCGAGAAGATCAGCTCCTGTCCAGGGCCAGCAAGTCCTTGAGCAGTGAGAACCCCAGTTCCCACCGTGCTCCCATCCTGGGCTGCCACTGCCACACCTCTCCTAAGCTAAGCAGGAGCAGTAGGATGCACAGAGCAACTCTCCCCTCAAACACCTCAGACTCATTGCAAACCAGTTTCAGGTACATCCTATCCACTGGGGCAGCTCAGCCCTGGAGAATTGGGGGGCTCACCCACTCCTTGGGCTGGCTTCAGCAATGCAGAAAACAAGAGCAAGGCCTCACTGCAGCCATACGCGGCCGACCCTGCATGGCACAACTGGCAGCAGCCCAGCCCGTTCCTGCCTCTGCCGGGGGATGCTTGCCCACGCCGCCCTGCTCACCGGAGGACCTGTGCGGGCAGAGCGCGCAGTTCTGGCCCCAGGCTTCGCCAAGTCGGCAGCAGCACTCAGTGTACGTGGTCTGCTCACCACGCAGCAGGTCTTGGCAGATGTAGTCGGCAACGGTCTGCCAGCAGACGTCCAGGTGGATTTCGTACTCTTCCAGGGCATCTGTGAGTGGCACAAGCAAAGGATGCCATGAAAATCACTCAGGAGAGTGCCACTCCCCTTGTCCTGAGAGGGACAACACTAGCTGCACACTGTGCTGGTGCTGGCACCCCTCAGCCTGACACCAAGCACCCACCGCTGCTCCCTCCCAGGGGGTCCAGCTATGGGGCAGAACATGTGGGGTGAAGGCGTGCTGCAGCGGGGGCTCAGGCTCACCTGCCCTGCTGGAGAGGTTCACACACCGGTTGCCAGTGGCATCCAACACGAGAGGAAGGCTGCAGAAGCAGTGGTAGGAGCCATCTGTGTTCAGACACTCACCATTGATGCAGTACACTTCGTTCTGACACTCGTCCTGGTCTGCCCACACACAAGGACAGAGCAACGTTTCAGGCTGGCAGACATGGGCAATGTGACCCTTTCCTTACCCAAACAGGGACCTCGGAGGCTCCTGCCACCTCCCTTCTCATTCCCCAAGAGGGTCCCTGGAAGCCTGTCACCCAGACCTGGCCCTGTAGCATGGGCAGCAGGGACAACTCTGGGTGCGGCAGCATGGCTGTCCCTCTGTGCACTTTGGGTACCCGCTGCTCTTTGAGGTCATCTTACCAACACACTCAAGCCTGCCGGAGTCATAGAAGTAGCCTGTACGGCAGAAGCATTTGTAGCCCGGCACCGTGTTCAAACACTGTCCATTGCGGCAGAACTCAGAGCCAAATGTCTCACACTCGTCCATGTCTGAGAGAGGGATGGAGGGAGAGAGAGTCTCAGAGAGCAGAGCTGTGGAAGCAGGGCTGGCTGGGTGCTGTGCCCGCAGAAAGCTAGCATGGCACCTTGGCCTAGATCACCAGCAGGTCCTCCAGTAAGCCCCCCACCTCTCCCACCTGCCCCATGCCTGGGAGCAGAGGGGGAAGCACCCACAGGCAGAGCTTGAGGAGGGATGATGGGGATGCTCTTTGAGCAGGATGCTTTCATAAATAGGAAATGCAGTGTATTTCTGGAAGGTCTAGAGCACAAACCCCTGGAGGTGAAGTGCCAAAGATGGAGCCACCCAGCCACTGGGAGGTCTGATCAGTAACTGGAAGGGTTGTGTCTTACTGGAACCCATCCCTAGTTCGAAGTGGACATGGGAGGTTTGCACCGAGAAAGTCACTGCCAGCAGTGAGGCAGGACTGGAGGAAGGGGCACTTCCACCTCAGTGACATTGGCAATCTGGGATTTCTCTGGATGGAGGAATGCAGCAGCAGGATGTTAGCATCCCCCACTACAGACCAAGGGAGGTATTTCTGTGGATCCATCTCCATGTAGGGCTTGGAACAGTGCCTTCCCTTTTTCCCCTGGAAGAAATGAGAGAAAATGCTGCTAGTACCTGTGAAAGAGACTTTTCCTGAGAGTAGATCTTCCTGGGGAACATAGCCCTTCCCAAGAGGGCAGATCTCTTGATATTCCACTGGCCAGCAGGCAGATGCCAAGGGGAAATGCAAAGAAAAGAAACAGCTTATTAGTGCAACCAAGCTCGAGCTGGTGGGCAGAGTGCTGACCCTGCTTGATGTGGTGAGGCCACAGTCCTACCTGTGCCCAGGATGGGGCAGGGGTAAGTCTCACAGTTGTCACCCCAGGCTGCCCCCACAGTACAGCAGCACTCCTCCTTGGTGATGTTCTTGGCCAGGACACTGTCACACAGGCGAACGTCATTGATGTGGTAGTAGCACTGCTTGCGCTCTGCGCTGTCAGAGAGGTGGGCTGCGTGTCTCTCTGGGCCTTCTAGAAGACAGCAGAGCAGGGACAGGATGGGGTTCGTAGCACCCCAACGCAGCATCCCACAACCAGGAGGTCTCAGAGCACACCCATCACTGTCAGCATGGCCCTTACGGGTCCCCACTTTCAGCCTCCTTGGCTCTCCCAAACAAAAGCTCTCCCATGCCTGCATAGGCTTGTACAGCCTGGCAGCCCCTCAGCTTTATCTCACCCCAACCAGGGCTACCACACTCCTGCCCTAGCTGCCACCCACACTACTGCCCAGCTGCCTACTCACCCATGGCTGCTCGGGGCTGGCACTGCCCTGCCTCTGTGTCGTACTCCTCGTGGTCACTGGGGCACAGGCAGAGGAAGGATCCCTCCACATTCTCGCAGAGTGCAGTCCCACAGACAGCGACCATCAGCTCACATTCATTCACATCTGCAAAGCAAGGTGGCAGCTGGAGCCCTGCCTCTACATGGGCAGCCTTGTGTATGGTCTGCTACATGGGGTCACCGTTCAACGGGGAGATGGAAGCTGCTAAGGATGAGCTGAGAGCTCTGTTCACACCGTGGCTCAACACAAGTCTGGCAAGAGCTTCCCTCTGCTCTCAGGGAATCTGGGGAGCCTGAACTCCAGCTTGCAGTGAGTCACTGGATCACAGGATCATCCAGGTTTGAAGGGACTGCTGGAGGTTTCTAGTCCAATTCCCTGCTCAAAGCAGGGTCAGTTATGGGGTCTCACCAGGCTGCTCAGGGCTTTGTCTAGCTGTGTCTTGAAAACCTCCAAGGATGGCAATTGCACAGCCATCCTGGGCATCTGTTCCACTGCCTGGCTGTCTTCATGGTGAAAATGCTTTCCCTTATGTTACACTCTGCCTGTTCTCTCAGGCTTTTATTAAAGTACCTCTCTAGCTCCTTCAGTGTCTCCAGCCCCCAAGCAACTTCTTTCCATCTACACAGAGAAGGGCTTCACGTTCACTGGGAGCCGCTTGTTTTTTTATGGAGCCCTGCTCTTTCGCAGTCCCAAGGGTCTTCTGTGCTAAGGCAACAGCACGAGACGGGTTCTGCTTCCAAGAGCTGCCCTGTCCATGCCTGGGATCTTCCATACGAGGATGCAGTCCCTGTCCATGCCCCAGGAGCTGTCACACAGTGGGGATACCACCATGGCATCTGCCAATGGCTCTCCCTCACTAACTGGCAGAGCAATCACAGGAGACTCACCAATGCAGTAGTGCCCGGAAGGTGAGCTCTCATAGCCACGGTCGCAGAGGCAGTGGAAGGAGCCATCCGAGTTCTCGCAGAAGCCGTGGCTCCCGCACAGCGTCTCGTTGGCGCACTCATCTATGTCTGCAGCAGAGTGGAGAGCAGGAATTACCTCAGACCCCACCTCTCCCAGTGGAGCCCCCTGCCCAGGCCCTTCTGCTCTGACCCCAAAATGTGGAGATGAGGGCAGGCATTCCCTTGATCCAAGGGACTGGGTCTGGCTGCCCCACTCACTCCCCTGCTATGAGTGTGTGTTAAGAGAAGCTTCCTGCAATATCTAGAGCTGCAGAGAGGCCACACAGGTAGGGCACCAGGAGCTCACATCCGCAGGAGATACAAGGGTGCAGCTGAAGTGCGTGGGGCAAATGCAGACAGATCTAGGATGATACCCTCCTGACCTGTTCTTCTTGACCTGGTCCTTCTCCAACTGCTGTAGTGCCAGGGAGTAATCTCGGCCTTGCCGCAGCGCGGCAGGGCTGGACAGTGACAACTGGGTTCTCTGCCTACGGGGAGCAGGTTTACAGCCCTGCTGGCTGCATCCCACTCCCCTCCTACCACTGCACAGGGGAGATTTCCCTTGCGCGGCCAGAGCAGCCGTGTGCCCACAGCCCCTGCTGCTCCCAAGGTCCGGAGCAGCTCCATGTGCTGCTAAGTCTGAGTCCTGGCACAGCCCTGAGCCCAGTGGCTGGCAGCAGCTCCTCCTTGCTGCAGCCTTCCCTGAGCTGGGGGAGCTTCAAAAACAGCAGAAACCCCCTTGCTCTTTCTTCTTTGCTGGAGCCTGAACTCCAAACCCAGACTCTTCAGCCTAGCACATAGTGGTACCAGCAGCCTTTCCCCTCACCCAACCCTGCCAGGCAGGTGACTGGCACAGGCAGCAGTCCCAGCAAGCACAGCTTACTGGGGGCTGTGGTCCAGCCCCAAGCCTGGAATGGCTGTAACCTGCCCAGGACTCTCCCCGAGCAGAAAGCAGCACAATGCGGTGTCTGTTCCAGATGCCAGGAAGAGAGAAGTCTAGACACAAGCAGGCAGCTCAGCCAAGAAAACAAACTCTCAGCATTATCTGCCTCTCTACCAGCCACACGCTTCCTCCTCCTCCTTCTCCCCCACGTCCCTGGCAGAGATGTCCCACAGCCACCCTGTCCCTGCCAGGAGGAGGGACAGGGACATGCAGGGCTGTACTCACCGATGCAGTCACCCAAGGGGGTCCAGTGGAAGCCAGGCTGGCAGCCCATGATACAACGGTAGGAGCCCAGGCTGTTCTGGCACCGCCATGTGCTGCAGATGGCATCCCCGTATTCTTTACACTCATCCACGTCTGCAGGGAGGAGGGCAAGGGGATGCGGGTGGTCAGATGGGGCCTCTGCTTGCTCACTGCAGCACGTGGGTCAAGTTCAGTTGGCCAGAGGCCCTGAGCCATTGTTAGTCCTCCTTACAAGTCACCAGCAACTTTGGCTGCTGGGAGCAGAACTGCCCTTCACCCTGCACTGGCTGCATCCATCCCCCCATATCCCAGGGGGCTGATCTCCCCAACAATGAGCTCTCACCCACGCAATCATCAGTCTCCTGGGAGTGTTTGAATCCATTTTCACACAGACACCTGTAGGAGCCTTCTGTGTTCAGGCACTGGCCTTGTGAGCACCGGGACTTGTCTGCGCATTCATCCACATCTACAAAATCAGGCCAAAATCATCAACATGGATCTCAGAGCAGAGGAGGGAGCAGAGGGCAGGACCGGAGGTATGTCCCTGCCATCCTCCAGCTCACCTTGGCAGCTGACTCCCCCAGCTGCATTCGAGAAGCCAGGGGCACAAATGCAGAAATAGGATCCGTGACTGTTGAGACACTCGCCATTGGGGCTGCAGATCTCGCTGTTCAGGCACTCGTTCACATCTGCAGAGGGAGCAGAGTCAAGGCCACGCACCCAGCTCTGGGGGACATCCTTCATCAAAGCCACATGGATTCCTTCTCTCCTCACAGGGCTCCTGGCCCCTGGTTTTCTCACCATGGAGACAGAGATCTTCCCTCTCCATGGTGATCCTTCATTTAGCTACAACCTTATGGATGTGCCATGCACGGTGGCATCACCTGCCTTGGCACTGGCATCCTCCCTGCTGGCATCCATAGAGAGGCTGTATGTCCTGGACCCAGAGGGCTGCAGGGATGGGGTTCCTACCTTCGCACACCGTGCCGTTGACGAGCTCAAAGCCAGCCTGGCAGTGGCACACATAGGAGCCTGGGGTGTTCCTGCACTCTCCCCGTAGGCACTGAACAGCAGGGTCCTCACACTCATCCATATCTGCCAAGCAGAAGGGCACAGCACAGAGTGAGGCCCCAGTCTTGCCACCACTGGAGAAGATCCCCATTCAGAGAAGCCATCACCCAGCTGTTGGTCTGCAAGGTGGGTTTGAGCTGCCCTCCCAGACCATCCTGTCACAGTGAGATGAGGGCAGAGACTCCCTGTTACTGGGAGCCCAGACTCTTCACTCCCCTCCATTATAGGGACTAAGATAAACTGGATCCCAGCACCAACTCAGTGGTGCCCAGTGACAAGACCAGAGGCAATGAGCACAAACTGACACACAAGAGGTCCCGTCTGAACATCAGGAAACACTTGTTTACTGTGAGGATTACTGAGCATTGGCACAGGTTGCCCAGGGAGGTTGTGGAGTCTCCCTCCTAGGAGATATTCAGAAGCCATCTGGACATGGTCCGGGACAACCAGCTCCAGGTGGCCCTGCTTGAGCAGGGGGGTTGGACAAGATGATTTCCAGAGGTCCCTTCCAACCTCAGCCATTCTGTGATTTGGTGAGCACAGGGATACTATTAACCCCAGTGCACAACTCCAGCAGAGCTCTGCACTGGGTACCACAACCACCAAGAGGCCTGTGCAGAGCCACAGTTGCTGACAAACCCTCCCTTCAGCCAACCGCACAAGAGCAAACATCAGGAAAATAATCCAGCACCAGCCATACCTTCTGCAGCTCTGCTTTCCTACCTGCCAGACTTGCCTGCAATGTCATTCTCATGGCAAAGCTGGCTGGGGGCCTCCAGCAGCTCTAACCCAGCTGCAGGGCTCCCCACAAACTCCTCCAGGCCTTGGCCAGAGTCTGCTGGCACTCTGAGGGTTTTGCTCACAGCAGAGGAGAGGGGTGCCTTCCTTCTAACAGAAGGCTGCAAGATGCCAGTGGACTGATGTTTACCTGCAGGTCCATGAGGTAGAGGAAAGCATAGGAGGACACTGCTAATCAGAAGGATGGGCTGTTGTGCAGGCAGCAGAAGACATGCTAATGGAGAAGGTCCTGCTGCACTCTTCTCCCCTGCCAGGAGCTAAAGCCCTGAGACTTGCAGCTCCTGAGGGCAGGACCCTTCTCTTCCCCTTCGCAGAGCAGTGAGCATGCCATAGGCATAAATGAGCATCGCTCCCTACCGCCTCAGGGCAGGATTCCCAGCTGTTCAGTCTCAAAGGGTTGCAAGTAGCAATATTCTTGAATCCTTCTGGAGGTGAACCATAACCTAGTCTACTTATCACAAAACTATCATGAAACCCTTATCATTTTTCAAATATGAAACCCAGATCCACACACAAGGCCACCAGCCAAGGCAGGGAAGAACATGCCATCCTGCCATGGGGTCAGTGTGACCCAAACAGTATCAAACCCTGATAAGGTGCCCTCATGACACAGCTGGGGCAAGGTGGCTGAGAAGGGACTCACGTGGAGTCTTGGGAAAGAGGGAGGGCAGATGGAAGGGATCAAACCATGGTTCTTCCATTTTACCCAAAAATCAGATGGAAAATAAGTTCATTTCACACTGGCATTCTCAGACACCAAAACAGAGGGGAATAGAGGGAGGAAAGCTTCCCTCTCCTCCGCCATTGGAGGCTCTCATGCAGAGGGTCTTCTGAGAGTCACATCAATGGCAAGATCTTCTGTTTGCCAGCTATGTGCAGGCTGCAGAGCTCTGCAGTGCTCCAGGGAGAAATTCGCAGCACATGGGCAGTCTTTCAAGAAATAGCTTTGCCAGCTCTGCCCACTCCCTTCCCTTGCCCCAAACAGGGAATTTGCATCAAGCCACCTCAAGCCCTGGACATCCTCTGGGAGCAGCCACCAGGGAGGGAGTTTCCCTGCCGTGTGCTGGGGCAGTCAGGCTGCAAGGCTGGGATGGAGCGCTCTCATGTCTCAGTAATGCAACCAACACAGACTGATGCTGGTATTAACTCTCTGCCATGCATACCTGGCACAGCAGAGCCCTTGAACTAAGCTTTCCTTTTTAAACATGTTTGAGTTACATTAGGGTCTGGGGGAAAATGATGAACCTTGGGTGCCCACAGTCTCTCCACTGGCTGTGAATCCAAGGTCTCCCCCTGTGTTGAGGACCTACATTTGGCGCATGCACTCTCAGGCACACAATTTTGAACTGAACCACACACAACTCCTCTCTGCCCATGTTTCTAGGCCTCCTGTATTCCTCTGGCCTTTGTCAGCATCCCCCAGGTCATCATTAGTCCAAGAGTCTCATCAATGAGTCCTCCCCCACCCCATCTCTTTCCTGCAGGAGGAAGATCACCTTCCTGCTGGTTTAGGTGACATCAGCTTGCAGCCCCCCACGCTCTCTGCTGACCAGAGAGCTAAAAGAGCTGGAGAAGGACCCTGAGGCTAAAGAAGACCTCAGGCCCCACCAATAACCCAACTACGGCAGTGTCTCTTCCCTCATTCTCTCCAGCATCCACTCCTCTGTCCCTGGGAAAGGGATACCTTCACATGTGCTGCCATCTCTGGAGATGGCATAGCCGGCGTCACAAGCCATGCAGGAGTAGGAGCCCTCGGTGTTGAGGCAGAGTCCAGAAGGACAGGTGGCCTGGGCCGTGCACTCATCGATATCTGCATAAGCACACAAGGCAGAGTGGGATGAGTGGGAAGGATGTGGAGTAACCATGACCAGGGGCAGATGTGTTGATAGAACCGGCCAACATGGTGGCCAGGACTCAGGCAGAGTCAAGCACTCAGGAAGAGCCTAGGGAAACCTCTGGACTGGGTGCATGACACTTCAGAGTGTCTGAACCACTACTCCCCTGTACCTTGGCAGCTCTTCCCATCAGGTGTCATCTCGTAGCCCTGGTAGCAGGAACAGCGGAAGGAGCCATCTAGGTTGACACAACGTCCGTGAGCACACGTCCCCTCCACAAGACACTCGTCCACGTCTGCGTGACACAGCAGAGAGCAATATGGAATGGGAGGGTGCTCAGGGCCATCCCTGCCACCCAAGCCATGAGGGCACTGTGCCCTGGCCACACAGGCTGGCCGCCCACTGGAGGAGCGTGCTGCCCGTGCCCCTGCTCCTTTTGAGGCTTGCAGGGAGCACTGCTGAGGGGGGCGAGGGTGCCGCCTCACTCCTCACCAACACATCTCCCGTTCCTGGGCCGGTAGCCGTCCCCGCAGCTGACGCACTTGTAGGAGCCTAGCGTATTGACACAATTCCCACGGGGGCAAGGGCTGGGATCCACGCACTCGTTGACATCTGCCAAGAAACACACTCCTTTCAGGCTCCCAAAGGTGAACAGTGCAGCCTTCTCCAGGATGTCCTCTCAAGCTGGATCCTCAGAGTCCCCCTCCGGCGGACAGCAGTGCCCAAGAGGAGGTGAGACGAGTTTGCCAGGGCTTGGGCAATGCTTCTTATAGTCCCACTTTGCCACTCAGGATCCCACACCTGCAGGCTGACATAATCCAGCAGCGAAACTCACTGCCGCAGGATATTGCCAAGGCCAGGAATGTGCATGGGCAGAGAAAGAGATCAGAGAACATCTGTGCAGGCCTGTTTCATCAGGGACTTTCATAACTATGATTAGGATGCAGCCTCCAGCTCAGGAAGTCCTTAAAGCAAGAGCTTTCTGGAGGCCACGCGGAGGGAGCAGCATTCTGTGCATGCCCTGTTTCCAGTACTGCCTCCTAAAATAGTCTCCCACACTCTGTTGGAGATGAGTTACTGAGAAAGGGGGATCTTTGATCAAGCACATCGTATGTTCACAAGGTCAAATGCTCTGAAGGGCCCAGGTCGTGTCATGTGAGCGGGATGCTGTGAGGACAGGGGGGCTGCCTCTCTGCAGCTTGCCCTCCCTGCAGTCCACTTGCCAGCATGAGAGTCTGCGGACAGAGTCAAGGTGGCATGAAAATGGATGGCCATCTCCTCCCAGAATGGGAAGCTGCCATGGGCTGGTCATGGGGGATCTCCCTGGGGAGGTGGGAGAGGATCCTGGGAGAAGTGCTGTCTCTCTACCCAGGAAAGCTTGTCCCTCCTGCGGGCAGAGGAGAGGACAGGTAGCCCTCAGGGAGGGCACAGGGCCGACAAACATGGAGGGGTCCTTCCTCCTGTCCAAGAGGAGACACTGAGCAGTGAGGAAAGGAGGTGTTCAGCCCTGCACAAGGTGGGTTGCAGGGGCAGGGGAACAGGGAGCAGCAAGCTTCACCTTCGCACTGTCCTCTAGGGCCCATGGCAAAGCCCTCCTTGCACTCGCAGCGGTAGGAGCCGGGGGTGTTGATGCATCGCTGTCCCCGGCAGGTAGAGGGCTGCTCACATTCATCTCGATCTGGCAACACACAGGGAGACAGTCCTGAAGTCTTCCTCCTCCAGTATGGGGAAGGCAGTGTGCAGGAGAGGAGCAGCTCCACCTGCAGCAGGGGACCCATGCCAGGGCTCTCCTCCATCCCCTATCTGTCCTGGCACCCCCCTTGCCATGAAGCAGTGATCAGGGCTGGCATCACGTGCCTCCCTCCCTCGCCACGGGCAAGGTCCTGTCCCTCAGCGAGCAGGAGAGGGTGATCCCCATGGATCAGGCTGTCTGTGGGCAGGCCTCTGGGGAGGGAGGGTGTGCAGATGTGCATGTGTGCGTGCAGGGGTGTGCAGGGGTGCATGTGTGTGCACACTGTGTGCATGAGCGCATATGTGGCTGCATGTGTATGAGAGACCACGAGGGCAGGGGACTGGGAAGACCCTGGGGAGGTGGCAGCCCCGTGCCAGGTGGACACCACTTACCCTCACAGCTCTGCTTGCCGTCCGAGACAACCGGGGTGTACCCAGAGTAGCAGAGGCAGAAATAGGAGCCCACACTGTTGATGCAGCGACCTTTTCCAGCACAAGGATCTTTCAGGCACTCATCTTCATCTGTGCCCAGGCACGGAAGGAAGACAGGCAGTCACCACCCGCAGCTGCCTGCCAGCCCCGCACCAGCCCCACGGTGCAGCAGGTGGGCAGGAACTCAGCAGAGCTGCCAGAAAACCTTGCCCCAGGAGCCTTAAGGACTGAACGGTCCATCGAGGCCCAGCAGGCAGAGGAAGTGCCAACCTACCGATGCAGTGGAGGTGGCTGTGGTCCAACACATAGCCGGGGTGGCACAAGCAACGGTATCCCTCTGGGGTGAGCACACAAGCACCGGCTCCGCAGGAGAGGGGTGAAGAGGCACAGCCGCTGGTCCCTGGGAGGAGACAACACAGGGTTGGGGTCAGCACCAAAAGGGAGTCTAGTGTCTGCCTTGTGTCCCCAGCAGCATGCCAGGGCAGTGTGCTTTTTCCTTTCTTGGGGAGCGATGCCGCGCCTGCTCCTCTACATCTTCAGGCAGCCCGCACCCATAGGGCTGCAGGGGGACCCGGCAGGTCGTGTCACCGCCTCCCGC